CCTGAGTGATTGTAGCCCAGGGACCAGCAAAAAGCAAACGCAGGCTCTTGTGTGGAATCCACAAGGCTTGAGGATGAAGGGTCAAGCTTCTGTCCCACTCAGCAAACTTCAATCTGCTCCAACTCCCACTCTCACCACACGTTGAAATCCCCAGACATGTGGTGCACGAGTTTCATTTTCATACTAGTTTTAACCTTTAAGATGTATCGTCTGTGCGAAACTAATGCAACTCATGGTACAGCAGGCTGTGCAGGGAAAACAAATTGAACCTTTTCTTGGTAGAAAACAGACATTAAGAGGAACTCATCCTAAATTTCAATTATAAACAGTAGTTAAACGATCATTCCTCACTAGTAATGACTTCCTAAAACATCTGAAAGAAGACTGAAAACAAAATAAATAGGACATAGAAAGTTTAACCTGAATTAATAAGTATTAGATATACATTAGGAAAGCTAAACTAATAATTTCAGTCATACACTTTCAGTTGTAAAAATAATAAAGCCAGACAGGTGGCTTGCAGTAGTTTTTAACAGCATAAGCGAAATGTTACGCTAAGCCCTGCTCAGCTTTCACAAGCACCACGTCCTGACCTAGTGGCACACATCCCAGTAAGAGAAGAAATGGTTAGGTGTGACAGAAGTACTTGCCTCAGTTACTATAGATGTGAAGTTGTCCGCAAAATGGATATGCTTGGCAAGCTCAGCTCTGCTTGCTGGAACTCCTTCTTGGTCTATGTGATACTCCGGCACAGCTCCCACAAGCACAATAAGCATCGACTGACAAGCCACGTAGACCTTTAAATAAGACACAATCATTTATCCTAAACAATCTCAGGGAGACCTGGTAGAATACTGTAAGCTTCTCATTAAGCTAACAGTTAACAGCTTCCCTTCACAGACAGCATGCTGTCAGTCTATGTTTAACTCCTCAGATGCGATCACCGAGGCTGTCGGGAGCAGCAGGTACCGCACCAGACATACCGGTGTACTTCCAGTAAAAGCTTCACCTTGACACCCTCCTTCCTCCTGTTGCAAAGTTGTTTAGTTTGTTCTTGCAGTTTTGTAGCCAGGCACAGGAAGATATTAAGAACTTCATCACAGTTTCATAGCTGAGATCTAAGACTTACACTAAGATTATTTTTATTGGAACAAAACAAAAATTACAATACATACTATACTCAAAGAATACAACCTGTAGTGACAAGTCAAAAAAAATAAAAAATCTTAAGATTATATTTTTTAAAGCCTCTGCTATTTCTTTCCATTGCAGAGATTGAAACCTTAACCTGATCATTATGAAAACTAGAATGTGCAGGAGTAAAACAGATTTTCATGAAGAAACCCTTATGAGCATATTTATTCATCAGTACGGGCTTCAAGATGTTTTGAAAGTCTTCTGGGCTTTGCGTGTGCTTTTATTTTTTCTAACCTAAATTTAACATTCTCCTTAAGCTTACCCACATATTGGTGATTTTCAGCACGTTATCACTGATGGAATAGTTTTGCATCTAGAATGGCTTCCTTCACGGGGCCACAAGTCTTTGGGTGGTGCAACTGGCTGGACATCGTTTGAATGTGCTATTTTATCCCTTGCTTACCTTGGACCTTCCTGCAGAAACAAGTTACAGCCCAAACCCAAACCCTACAACCGGCACCATCTCCCTCCCCCCCTCCCCCCCCCCCCCCCCCCAACGTTTTAATTCGAAAAGCAGAACTGCGCTGACAGGAGGAAGCTGGTTATGAAAAGAAAAACTAAGCGAGTGTAACGGCTCGATGTTTGCATGCGGGGGTGTGGGCACGATTTCAAGACAGCACCCAGCATACCGCTTTTCACAGGAGATTTAAAAAAAAAAAAAAAAAAAAAAAAGCCACCAAAAACCAAACCAAAAAAAAAGGCACCACAAAAAAAAAAAAAAAACAAACCAAACCAAAACACAACAACAAATAAAATAAAATAAAAAATTTTTAAAAACAAACAAAAAAAACCCCACAACAAACAGTTGCTGCGGTTAGACTCCATTTCCTTCCACTCAGCAGAAGCTTGAAAAGCGCTCTCCAAAAGTGGAAGCTCGGCATAGAAATAAGGAAAACGGATCGCAAACTCTGAGAAGGGAGGCACGCGAGCCAGCACCTCGGAGGCGCGGAGGAGGGTTTGAAAATCAACCCGCGAAGGGAACCAACCCCCCCGGCCCCCTCCCGGGGACGCCCCTGAAGCTGCGCGGGGCTGCGGGGGCCGGTTTGGCGCCGCGGGGCCGGGCCAGGGGAGCGGCCCCCGCCGGGACGCGGCCCCCGGGAACCAGACACCGCCCCGCCCTCCCCCCAAACCTTGGGGGCCGCCCCCGCCTCACCTGCAGCAGCACCAGGAGGGCGGTGAGGCGGCGCTGCCCGCCGCCGAACTCCCCCGCCGCCCCCAAGGCCTCCTCCAGCCCCAGCGCCATGGCCCGCCCGCCGCCGCGCTCCGCCCCGCCTCAGGGAGGGAGAGGGGGGGGGGGAACCCTGCTCAAGCAGTGAGGCAGCTGCCTCGGAGGGTGAATGATTCATTAATTAAAAAAAAAAAAAAAAAAAAAAAAAGAAAAAATATCCAGAAGAAGAGCTGTCTGCCCTGGGCAGGGTGGAGAGCAGGAGCAGGGAGGCGGGGGGAGCAGCCTCATCCCTGCTGCAGGAGGGAAAAGGTGGCCGAGGTGCCTCAAGGTAGGGTTCTAAGGGGATGTGGCCCTGCCGCCTCTCCACCAAAAAGGCACTCGGAGGTGCAGGAGACAAGCAGAACGGCTCCACAATTGCTCTGGAGCCGGTGTAAGATGGGAGCAGCTTTCCCTCTTCCAGTATTTTAAGAGAAGCAGGATTTTTCCATCAGGATTTAATCCAGTCTCAATAATTGCAGGCTGCTACCGAAGGTTTATTTTGCTCTGTAGCCTTCTTCCCCAGGCTGCTGTCTCTGGCCAGATCTGGTAATTGGGCACCTACAGAACTAATCAGTTCTGCTTGCTGATTCAGTAAAACAAACTGAACTACCCTAAAGGCTCTGTTCACCCTGTGGCTTTCATCCAGTTTGCAGAGTGCCACCTAAAAGCTCCCCATCCTATGGACAACAGAAGAAACTCAAGTTGGCAATTTAGTATTAAGAATAGACATTAACTATCAATAATTAGACCTGGGGAAAAGGGATTTGACAGAAGCACTGTGAGTGGCCTTCCGTGTAATTCCTTCAGGACTGTAACACACATGGTTATGCTTGCATTTTTCCTAGCATTACATTTGGAGATAGAGCTTTACCATTACACTAGCTTCATACAGGGTTTCTGTTTTGCTTCAGAGGTTCTTTTAAGTCTTTCTCCCCAGTTAGCCATATCAAGAAATTCTTCCCTTTGGGGCAATACCTTAGGACGACCTCTCCTTAGCATTGTCAGTCCAGGACAGCCAAAATACGTGAAAAGATTGAATGGGGTGGCACAGCTCGCTGAGAAAGCAGCGAGTGCCGCACAACATACCGGGTGTGTTGCCCAGGAAGAGCTAACAGAGGGTCAAAGTGCTGCTTACCTTGGAACTGTGACAGCATGGATAAGAAAATACTTTCTAAATCATTTCCGAGCTTCCTCATCCCTGTAATCACCGTACATTAGCAGACAGTAGTGAACTCCTAGGTTTTATTTGTAGTCCTTATAGTCTCTGCTCCAGCTGCTTTCATGCTTCGTACCCTAATTCAAACACAGCAATCTGTTGCTGAACTTTGGCAAAGGCAGGCAGACATAAACAAAGCAGGCCCCACTTTGGTTCCTGAATAGATCTACAGAAAAGATGGAAATAATTTTGGAAGTCTACTGATTTTACAAGACCTATTAGGGTCCCCCCTCATGTTCAATCACCTGTTTTCCCACATTAGTGTGGGACCACAACACTTAAGGTCTCAGGAAAAAAAAAAAAAGGCACCCCCCCACACACACACACAACTGTCACCATTGCTGCATCTGCTTCATCTTGAACATTTTAGCCTAGGACATACATGCCAGCACTATTCTAGAACCACCAAATAATCATTCCCTGAGCAGGTCTCACCAGCACCATGTTGAACAATAAGAAGACAGCTTTTAGTCCACATTCACAAACATTCCTGCTACCTGCTAAACATTAGTTGAAAAAATAAATGGGGGGGAAACACTGTTTTCTGACATCTACAATTTCTCCAGTAGGTGAGAGTTTTGTACTGCATAAACTGTTCTGACATCAGGAATTGAATCACTGCAAGGTCCCTTGCAGTCAGTCCGTGTGTCTAGGATGTATTTCCATAACTTCTAGGAGATAGTAGCAATAAATAGTTGTTTTTAAGTGTTTCTCCTCAATTAACCATAGCAAGAAATACTTTCCTTTGAGGCAGTAAGTCCAGAAGTCTTGCAAAAAAGGTCCAGAAAACGTGGATAGTGAGGTTTTCTAGGGATGTTAGCAGCCTACTTGAAGGAAGGTTTGAAAAATGAAAGGCCCAAGTTTTCCTATGCATCTCCTCCTCTGGGTTACCAGAAGAATTATGAGTAGGAAATACAAACCAAAATCTATTTGTTTGCACAAATAACAGTAAAGCTGCATCAATAAAAAGAAGTGGTTTAATTAAAATAAAAAAACAAACCAAACCAAAACAAACACACAATACACCAAAAAACCAACTGTTCCCCAGGAAGCCATACACTTTTGGGTGACTAAGCATCTTACTTTACTACGCATCTTATTTTTAGTTTACTCCAAACTGAACACCTAATCAAAATAGGTAACACTATAGCATTTTCAAGTTGCCTTTAGCAGGGTAAGTTTCAGTTAAGTCCAAGTCAGCATCAGACTCCATGGTGAAACCTCCATGACAGTTTAATTGTACTTCGAAGAGTTTTAGAAGTCTCCTCGAGATTCAGATGGGTTGTTTCGGTACTGGAATCATTATACTAAGTAAGAGAACACAGATTATGTAGTGACTGGTTTGTTAATCGTAATTCAGGTAATAAAATATCCACTGCATCCTGCTCAAAGCAGCATTTATTAAAGATAGTATCAAGATACGTCAATGCATAATGAAGCTTTCCCTCCTACAAATATGTAAACAAGTTGACAGCAAGTTATTATTACAATATAAAAATTAAAGCTTACATTGCATTTTTTTTTTAAAGCTACTAAATTCAGTCCCAATGTAGACAGTCTCTGGTCTGTAACATTTAAAAACACGAGTTCTTGAAAAATGTTAGAAGTATTACCTTTGCGCATACACATTTTTGTAGAAAAATACCTTAAAATATCAACTTCCCTTAATAAAAGCAACACCAAAACCAAAACACATCTTCTGTCATGAACAGTGTGTTAAATGCGTCTAGCATTTACTCCACCATTCTGTTTAACCAAATTATCTTCTGTTCATTTTAAAATTCATTACAGTTTGCAGAAAGTGGCTTGGATAATAGTCAGTTATTTTCACATAGCAAAGGAATTAGCATTAAAGTAGCTAGTATTGGCAATTACCTTGTAATCAGAGTCTGGCCTAAACTTATTTGCAATTGAGGCCATCAATTTAATCCTCATCTCAAACTATTTTAACACATACAGGAGGCTCTTGATAAGAAATCTGAGTCAATTCAGATATGTTTTGGAAAGGCTTGAAACCTGTACATGATTTAAGACTACATATTCTCTTTTATAAAGTACCTTTAACCTCTACATAGTTTTTTCTTTAACTATATTAGCAGTCCTGTTGGTGGCAGCCAATTCTCAGGAAATACTTTGTTTGTAAATTTATCTAATTTGACATGAGCTACATTTCACATCCCAAAAGCAAAAAGAACGTTAAGTTAAAATTTGATTTTTGTTTAACATTTTTCCAAGAAGTTTACTGGCAAGAGCTAGACAGATGACTTTTGCAGTTGCTAAGGCAAAAAAGTTTGAAAAACCCATGTACACAAAGTTTAAAAGATTGTGTAATGTTTCAAAACCAAACCAAACTAAATTCAACGAGCAGAGGGAAATACGTATTATCGGGATGAAAGCTAATCATGCCATTGTGCCCTGCCAAGCATCAACTGACAATAAACAGCAAAGAAAAAAAAAAATTAAGATAATACAGTGAACCAGTTTCAGGATGAATTGAAGAAGAAAATCAGGCTGTCAAGAAAAGAATCTTGCAGCAGGATGTTAGACTGAAAAACACAGCCAGGAAAATCCTGGAATTTTTATCACTTAAGAGTATCTGAGAGGACACAAGTGTACAGTAAAACGCAAACAGTGATGAATATGAATAATACTGCCAGCTTCCCTAGTTCCATGCATAGTTCAGAAAAAGGAGAGTTCTTATTTAGCCTTTGTCACTACTTAATTAGCAAGTTAAGTCTGCCAGAAGTTACAGCCTCAAGTACATAACGACATGTAGCACAACTTACTGACCATAAGCGTGGTAGAGGCCAAGCTACTCAAATGATCTCTAGCCCTGGAGATGTGAAAAGAACACAACCCCCAAAACAGGATCTACATGAACCTAGAACAGGAATGGTAATTCTGAAAGAAGGCCTTACCCTGCTCCTTCATGCAGGACTTCTGTAGAAAGATGACAATTTTATTGCCATGCTTGCTGATAAAACAAATACAATGAGTTAAAGCAAGGTGCGGCATCAGGAGCTCAAGGAGGACGTTCAACTGGAAAGTAAGAGTTAGAGATTCCACCCAAGGCCCAGGGTAGACTAATTTTCAGAGAGGGATGAGATGCAAACACAAAAGCCTCAGTTTCCCCTGACGTCTTACATAGCTCAACACACAGACAAGCCTTTCCCTACCTTCGGGGAGACAGATGAGAAGCACAAACATTCCTGGGGCACAAGAGAGGAACCAGGCCCTGGGGAGGCTGCCTTTCTGATCACTGCCTCCCCCATGGACAACAGCTCCTTATAAAAGTGAGATCACAAGTTGTGGTTTCGGGTAGAGGATGGGATTTTTACAGTGTACTCATTCTGGAGGGAGCAGCCTTCCTGTATTCTGGTACAAAACTGTGTCTTCAAGTGAAGTAATACAAACTTCAGCCTTTTAATCACATATGGACTGTTGCAGTGTCTTACTAAAGCATTTAACTTCCTCGGAGATGCTAAAAGCACTGCGTCATCACTACTGTTGTATTTGACCAAGGCTTTGCACTTGGCTTACAAACGCCTCTAACAGCAAGCAACGCAATGCCAATACAGACCAGCTGCATTTTTATCCATACGATTCAAACCCTGGCTCCAAGTCTACAGAAGACTACTTCAAATGCCAGTATATAGTAAGAGATCATTAAGTGCCTATCAGCAGTGAAGCCACTATGGCTGTAATATAAAAAGAACTGCAGCAGGCCCAAGCCCTAGAAATAAGTTTAAAAGCGCTGTAGTAGTCTTGCAGATGACTGTCATACCTGGGGGAAGGTCTGAGGACTGGAGTCTGAGATCCAAGGATAAGAGGGATCACACACCATTTTCTCTTCAAGGCAAGTAACACCATCTCTCTCCACGCCAAATAATAACATACTGTCTACAAAAAGTGGGTGTTTTTTCCCTTAACCCGCAGTAGAAATAGTCACACAGAAAACTAAAAACAGCCTATTTCTCAGAATGGCAGAGAACAGAACCAAAGGGGACCTCAAAATATAATTTCTACAAGTCTTGAATGCCTTGAATGACATTCCAAAATTAATCTCTGTACAAACAGGTATGTCATGGGACTCTATGCTATAAAATGGCTGACTAAATCAGCTAGACTTTTAGAAAAAGCTATTTGTATATAACTATCTTAGTAATAACTTGAGCAATAGAAGTACTACACAGCCAATTTCAGAATCCACATATGATGAAATATACACGCATACGTGGGGTTTTTTATATATTCTTTCTTGAAGCAATGCAGAACAAAACCAAACCAGGACCTGAATAATCTATCATACATGCCTTCATGTCAGCATGACTTCTCATACGCAGCTGGTGGGCTGGTCAGATCCCTGAGGTCTATCACTGGAATTGCTACAAGTTTTACTTACCACAATTTTAACCAAAAACTGATTGAAAATTATATTACATCTCTCTAGGTAAAGGAAGAAGACAGACAAAGACAAAACAAAACCAAAAAAACAGCTACAGAACAAAAACAGAACAACCCACACAGACAAAAAACTACACAGCCTTGTAATACATAGAAAGGCACCTTATAATGTTAAGTGTTAGTAGCAATTTTCTACAGCATCCTAAGTTTACTTAAGCAATCAAGATAAATTTAAAAAAAAAAAAAAAATCACGAAATGCAAGAATTGCTGGCATTCAAAAGATACGTCTGACCCACCTAAGAAGTCACTAAAATGACATGTGCAGCTGTAAATCAGTAAGTGTGCAAAACCATACAGTTTTGCATAAAGTGCTAAATGTACCCCCAGTTCGCACCTATTAGTATTATCTAAGTTTGTTAAGCTTGGCAACGTGATGCAAGAAGATGATCTTAAGGATGTACCACATCTACCTCGTCTCTCCTTTTCCTTCCCCACCATCATCCACTGTACTTCAAACTGTACATATTTAGATTACACAAAGGCCTTGTCAGGAACTGTAGTTCAGAAAAAATATTTCAAGTATACCTATCTTTCCATGTAAACTTGGGGACACTATGGGTTCATTTTTCACAAGTTCCAAACACTTACAACTTCTGCTAATTCAAATGGAGTTGTAATTATTTCAGTCTATTCAGTGCCTCTGGAAAGAGGCTGTTTCCTGTCACTCATTTAACTCCCATTTAAAGAGTGCTGAAATTCACACTATAATTTGTCCAGATTTAAGTCAAAACAAAAAGCAATTACAGAAAAGCAGAGTAGTACTTTATCCAACCATTTAGGTTCATACACCCAAGTCCTATCGTATATACTCATCATATGAACCATACACAGATCTTTAACACTTGACACACTGAATTCAAGTTATTATAATACAGCAGTTTTTTCTTGCAGGCATTGTGCAATACACTTAGAAGTATACAGCGGGTCTTTTCTTCACTCTGTATTTCAGTGATCCGTACCGTATCTGAGGGGGGAAAAAAAAAAAAGTAACTTAAAGACTTCAAATCACTTCAGGCAGAAATATTATTTACCTTTCCACTATGCCAATCTAGCAAGTTTCTTTAAATGTGCTTTGGTCACTCCACAGTTTCAGTAAGAGAATCTATGACTGAACGAGATAGTTTCAACAGAATAGGGCAAGAAGGGTAAGTCCCAACTGTTCTCCCAGAATTACCTTAAAGTTCTTATGAGATTCCATAGAGATTTATCCTGAAGTATCTTTAAATTTTGTGACACATACAAATATAAAGCACTCTGAATCCTACAAAGCACCTTCTCTTTAAGGATTACAAGTCAAAGCAGGCCATATGTCTATGGGAACTGAAAAAGTCTGAATCTTCTTTAATCCATTAAACAGCAAATGTTGAAGCGCGTAGAACTAAGACATGCAAATGCAGACGACAGTACCACTACCTATACCCCTTTCAGGGTGAGCAGTTCCTGAAATTTAGTCTTGGTGGTGCCAGAATCAGCATTACAAGCACAGAATCTCTTTCACCTCCCCTCCCTTTTTCCTCACTGCTTCCATTTCATTCATGTATTTTTCCCTTAAAAGCCCCAAAGTAGAGAAGCTCCAGGCTTAGACATTGTTATCACATACTTCCTTCTCCATTTAGCATTCTACAACAGTTATCATTGATAACCCCTCTAAGATTAAGAAAAAAAAAATCTGCATTATTAAAAATGCCAGGATACATTGCTAAAAACAAACTCAATACTTAAGATTATACTTGCCTCTTTACGGCCTTTAATAGTTTTCACAGACTTCATGCTCTGAGTTCTTCGAAGGCCTCTCTGAGCAAACATTTCATCCTCTGAGTGTGTCCCCTCCACCTCTTCATCTGTTTTGTCATCTCCAGGATTTTTTTCCAGTGGAGTTTTGTAACCTTTAAAAAACAGTTTTATAAAGATGCTTAATAGAAGTAGCTGTAACTTTTCAATTTGTAAGAAAGCCAAGAGTTTCATCTTTAGCATACATCCCTTATTCTTTTAAACGATATGGTCAGTGTGCCAGCTGCTTCGAAACAGCAAAACATGTAGTCTGCCAGGAGCTTGTTACTTCTATTTCTGTCATTTGTAAGTAACAAGCCACCTTGTTCCATAGGTATGTAGCACACTGGTTCCTCAACTGTTAGAAATTAAACCATCAGCCTGCTACCATCTTCTGCTTTACACTGAACTGCAAAACCCTCAGCCGTCATCTTGAGAAGTACTTAAGGATTTTGGCCACAATCCCCATGGGAGGGAGGTTAGACTAGATGAGCCTTAAAGGTTCCTTCTGACGAAAACCATTCTATGATTCTGTGATTCATACAACTTTTCTTCATAGTTGCATACCTCTCTGCGTATTTATTACCAAGTTCCTTTCAGAGAGATAAAATTTCAAATTACTACTAAGGGCTGTTTATATCCTGCGAAAATAGGGCCAAGATTATTACCAAACAGTCACACTAGAGGGCGCAAACTGCTTAAAAACGTCCTGAAAAGCTCCTTAGGATGCAAAAGCCCTGAATCCCCACAGATGTAGGTATCATACAGCCCCGAAACGTCATCTGGTTCTTTACCTGCCGACCTCTCCTGTTATAATGCCATTCCAGAACACGTACGGACACCTTTCTGACTCCAAACCCAACCTAACTGACGATCAACATACATTATATCTTAAGCCAATGCTTTACTTAGGCTTAATGACATTCTTTTCCTTTAGTCATTTTTTTTCCTGAAATTAGAATCACGCTTACCTACTGCACAGCTACTTAAGGCAGACTTGCCTCTTCTGCCACCCGAGGAAACATCTCTCTGCCTCCAACAGAGTTTCAATTCATCTTTTTCAATCGGGAAGATCTGAATTGCATCTGTTACTCCTTGTTTCTGACTAGGGATGTTTGCAGTGACACCAATACTTCCTTCTCTCTATTTGTAACACGTCTTCTGATGCATCAAAATTACATTTGCCTTTTTCACAGCAAGCATACTGGCAGCTCAGTCATCCTATGATCGGTGTCCTTCTACAGCTACGTCTTTTTAACTAATTTGACGAGCTCAGATCACAAAAAATAACCTTCTGCTAAGTGCCATGATACATTGCCACATAGTGTCCCTAACTATCAGTGGTTTGATTTGTTTGTTTGCCTTTTTTTTTTTTTATCTCTAATGCTGAGGAAAATTCAAATAGAACAGAAGAGGTGTGCATTAGATGTGGGTTCAGGAGTAGAAACAATTAAGTTAAGCTAGCTCTAAGAAAGCATTTTGATATGTGAGATTGAATCTCACAATCAGTGGTTATTTACACAGTATAAACCACACCCAAGTAGTTTTTTTAATGGAATTTTGAGCATTTTCAAGCTATTTCAGGTAACTAATGCTGTCTTACTGAGGAACGGCCCCTGCACAACAGCTGCAGTAACAGCATCCATAATGCAACTCCTGATGAATCCACAGGCTTTCCCTCTGGCCAGTAACCCCTGTCAGACAGCACAGGACACCTTCTGGGCACAATCAGCAATTCAGCTTCGGGTCATTCAAGTGGGCTACTTCTCAGAAACACCACGGGCTACTTACCATGCGATTCCTGGAATTTCTTGTACTCCGCAAGCACCACCCCTCCCCCAAAATAAAGAAGAAATTACAGGCTTAGGGAAAAAGAAGAGATAGACCAGAGCTATTTTTTTCATGGGAAACATCAACTACTTCGCATTGTAACCTTACCATTTAAAAAGGTGCAACTGACAGTCTCCCACTGAAACTTTCCTTCAAGTATCAAAGGCTCAAAAGCAAAGTGATGATGATGACGATGATATTTGTAATACAATAATAAAATAGTAAGACTAATATCACTGCAAAAGCATATATTGGTCACCACATACCATCTCTTGAGTGTTGATGTGCATCAGTCCGCTATGACAACTTAATGCTTCCATTATTCCTACCACCAGAAGCAATTTTACCTTCTGAACTATCATTACAGACCTACTGAATTAATTTCCATTCATTTTCTCTTCCTATTTATTGAGCTTCCATAATTTTTCATGTTTAACTTTTTGTGCATTTGTCACATAAACACCACTTAATCACATATTTTTTTGGCTTCCAGTTAAGCTTTATTTTAGCAAGGAATTGTCACTGCTAAGTGCCAAAGATACGAGTAATGAGTACAGTATGACTACACTGTTAGTGGCTTTGAGAAGAGAATAATTCAGGGAGGATTCCTCAACTGTACAGGAATTCTCTGAGGCCTTTTCCATTTCTAAATGGGGTAAATCTATTCCTCCTTTCCCACTTCTGTCTTTGGTGAACTGTTCTTTTAGCTAGGAAAAGAAAAAAAAAATATGGTTAGATACTTACCTGAAGATTCACTTGCAGAGGCTCTGGTTTTCTTTTTTGCTTCTGGTAATGTCTGATAGGGTCTCTGTCCTACTGGCTCATCTCCTTGTATAGTAGTCAAATCATGCATACTGAAACTTCTCAGTTTCTCTGTTATCGCACCTTGACTCTGAAATACAAGAACGGTATCTTTGAAAACAAAGCAGTGGTTTAACTTTGCTGTTCAAGATAGGTTAAGATGTTTAAGCCCATGCTTCTTTGTTGCACTAGAAAATTAACTGAACATGAGCATGCACTGGATTTACATTTGCTTTAAGTATTTCTTTTATCCAAGCCCAACTGTATATTGCTCCTAGATGAAGAAGTTGCAGATAAGCTAGCAGTTTCATTATAAATGTCTCATTTCACTCCTTTATTCTGAGCAGATAAAGGCTTTTTGGGTGAGACGAAGTGTGTGAAAGAAAACAAACAACCAATCAAACCAACCAAACAAACAACCATCAGAAATGCTGGGTTCACATCAAACATGATATTTCTGTAGCAGTGCTAGGTAGCATGACAGTGGATTTAACAGCTGTGTTTTAAAAAGAGTGGTTGAAGACAAATAAATATTTCCGCTATTTTATATTTTATCCTCCACACACTTGTTTATGCATAAAAAAAAGTGTTAAAAATACACTCTGTAACATTAACTCGAGTAACTGAGAAACTGGCAGCACTACAAAAGCTCTAGCTGACAGAAACTTGAAACCACAAACCAAAGAGGTCCTGCTTGGACTAGAGGCTAGCAGGTTCTCTTACTAATGTAGCTTTACTGACATAATACCAACCCAAAATCTAATGCTAAAGATAGTTGATCACATCTGAACATAAGTAATCCTTCTCTGATTGTCTTTATATCTTTCCTACATGGGACACACAGAAAGTTCCCTTTGGGAAAGAAGGGTCATCAAGCAGCTCTTTCATTTTACATCACATGATGTTATTATTAAAGCATTGAAGCATTGAAGATTACTTTATTGTAAAAGTAACTAAAAGAACTAAAATTACTCCATGTCATGTTAAAATAACATTTAATTCTTCCCTCTCTTGCACCGGTGGCAAAAAATAACTATTTCAGAGGAAGGTTGACAAGCCTGAGCACAAATCCCACTTCTGAGCAAAGGATCAAGATGTTGTTTCATTGTTACAAATTAAGCTTTTAAGCAAAACTCCTCATTTGAGCATTACCTTAGCTAGCAGTACCAGAAATCTGGGTGTAATTCCACACACCTTTTTCTGCAACAGCACCAGCGTCAGGCAGTTCTTACTCCACTGGCCATAGCCATTTGTTCTCACTCTCATGGCAACAACTGTTTGCAGATGGTAGACCAGCACACTAAATTATTCCATGTTAAAAATAGCCATGTAAAGTGAAGAGACAGTAGAGTGATACTCCTTAAGTTTGCCTGGCTACCAAAGGGGTGGGGGGACGGTGGCGGCAGGGGAGAAGGGGCTGAAACCTAATATTCATTTTCTAATGACTAGTCATTGGTACAGCATGTAAAACTAAGTGTGCTGCACAGGCAAGAAAAAATTCTTTTAATTCTTCTAACACCACTCATACATTGCCACTAAACAGTAACAAAGAAAAGGTTTCTTGTAAGAGAAGTAGAAGCCTTTACTTATCCAGTTCTTCCTACACACGCATAAGGATGACTAACAGTTCGCAAGAACACAACTACAAGTTACATTTGAGGTAAAATCCACTGCGGACATTGTACAGTCTGTGTATAAACTGTTATAGAAATTCTGAGGTTAATTTTATTTCCTAAAACGGCTTGAGGCAGGAATGCTGCCCTTCTACTACTCCACTTCTTGCACTGAAAAGCATTTGTACAGTATGCCAAATTAGCAACAAGCTAAGCCTGAAAACTTACAGTCACCTGCCAGGACACCAGAGAAAAGAACTGGAGAGACCAGACTGCTTCTTTCGACAAGTAACAGCTAAGAGGATCTGCTATAACACCTTAAGACTGCTGATCAGTCTGTGTCCACTGCTTGAAGAGATGCAACTGGACTCAGGTCTCAATCACTGCACGCTGATGAACGTATAAAATGGACCCAGCTGGTTGTCAGCAGAATCCATATAAATTCAGCGCAACTCCACTCAGCGTGGACACAACCTACTATGGGACAGTGACAGAACCTGGATTTGTCCAGAAGCAAAAGTATAGGAAGACACACCTGCAGAACAGTTTTACAGTGAGTTCATTCACTATGTGATACACTACAAAAAGACATTTGGAAATTGTACAAGATATTGTAATTAAGATTATAATAACTAACATGCTAAGAAGATTCCACATTACAAGCCTGCATTTCCTAACCTACTGTTGACATAAGAAAACTAGATCCAAGCTGGGAATGTTCAACCTTATTTCTCAGTGCAGCTTCCGGATACAGAATTTTGTTTTTCCAAGGGGAAAAAAATTCAGCTATGTGCCATAAAATAACATTGGGCCCTTAACCAAACTGCACGCTCGATGAGGCTAGAGCTCCTGTGGAGCACTGCCTCATTCAGGGAGGACATCGCGGATTCATACAATGGGCCCTTCATTCCAAAATGACTTGCCAAGATGGAAAGTTTTACTCAAGTTACACAAAGCAAATATTAAGAAGTTTGAGAGGATACACATACAACTAAGAGATGCAGCAGACATGCCTGAGAGTCACAGTAGGAATGGGGGCTGCAAAGCCACTGCTGTATTGAAGAGTCGTCGTCACAAACTACACTAACCCTATGCAGGTACTCCCTACAGTCCTCCCCATCTCCTGCCGGAATGCAGGCTTCATCCCACCCCCAGGAAGACCCAGACTAGCCAAATCAAGATTGTTTTCTACTTCACACCACTGCATAGACTAAGCAGAGGACAAATTTCAAGGTGTTTTGTGTGGTTTTTTTTTTTTTAATTATCAAGAAAAAACAACTGACATCACTGTGCTCATACAGCACATAAAATTTAGGACCCCTCATGCCTAAAAAAAGCAGATAATTGCAATTGCTTTCTGCTGAAACAAAGCATTCTGTGAGGACCTGGATTACTATCAGCTCACAATGAAAGTCTGGCTGAAAAATATTAAATACCCTCCTACTGCAGGCAATGGGAGATTAAATACCCCCTACTGCAGGAAACGTGCGAGTAACATTCACATTTAGAATATTAATACATTAAGAGCTTTGATATCTCGTTGAAAGGTCAGATTGTTACCAGCCTCAGCTTGAAAGCAAGATGTTCGCCTGCAAAACAGAAGGCAGAGCAACCCAAATGCAGGTGGAGCTGAAGAGGGATCTCCTGCTCCCACATTTGTACCATGGGTATGGCAGCAGCCATCACCTCTCCCCAGACACAGACGCAGTCCCACGATGCTGCTCACAAGAAGATGACAGGGCAGTTGACACGCACACACTGGTGTCCCATTATTTCAACAGTTCCTACCAGTAAGTTAAAAATACAGCCGGCTGCATCCAGCCCAGAGACTGCCAACAAAATTACACCACAGAAGATTGAGACACACACATTTACAATTACAACGCAGGCAAAAAGCACAGAATGACTTCAATGCTCAGATTTCTAAGTGAACACTGAAGGGAGATGAACTGTGAAATTTGTGTGGTCTAAGCAAAATGCAAGTCTTAAAGAATGAGTTTGCTTATTTATTCAATAGTAGTTCCTAAAACATATTAAACGATTTTCAGAGACCACATTCATTACCAGTGACCAATCTGAAACACTAAAGTTGTAACAGATTTCTAAATCTAGTTTTTGATAAATATAGCCTACTTAAGGGACTCCTGAAACTACTCAGACTCTAGTAAACTATTGGTATGCCATCTCATCAGCTGACCATCATATATGCAATGCTGTTCTCTACTGTGTTATTGAGCATGTATTCTTTACAGTCTATATACTTAAGCCAGGGAAGTTGCTGTAAACAGACACCGCGAAGTGTGTCTGCCTCTGGGATTCTTTTTTTTTGTTGTTGTTGTTGTTGTTTAAATTGGCCTTGCACCCCCGTCAGCAGTCAGGCTCACTGAATACAGCTGCTTGCCTTCATTGGGCAAGTTCTCAATGGACTCGACGTGCAGAGAGCTGCTTGGAGCTCTGTGGCTGCAAGAGCTGCGGGGCGCAGCACCCACATTCCCAGCTGTTCTCCCGCTGATCCCATCCGGGCTGACAGGGAATGACTTCTGCTCCCTCTCAACCCCGAGAGGGACTGCTGTCCTGTGAATGACCTCTGCAGCCTGCCAGGCGGTCCCAGCAGGGAGGCGGGATGAAAGCAGTATTGCTGGGGAGCTGGGCCCCTCACAGTGATGCTGGCTGTACGCCACAGCTGGCTGCAAGACACCCCCTGCCTCTGCCGTGCCCTGAGCGGGAAGGCTGAGCAAGGCTGTTGGAATAATAGTCATTTAGCAAAGAGGCAGCAGATTCAGGATGACTAAGACATGCAGAAACACAGCCCTCAAAATATATCATCATCATCGTCAACAACAACAACAGAACAGTGTTCATGTGACCTCATAGAGAATGACAGCCCATGTCACAGCTTAATTAGCAGCTGTCCCGCACCTGGCAGTACAGAAACCAGTTTTCACTAGTAGCTTGAGAAGTCAGAATTTATGTGTTGGTAAAAATTGCAACGTGCAGGTAACCAGCATCTCAGAGGATCTGGAAAGGAGATGCATCAGAACACAAGATAAATCAGTGAAACTCAGTGTTGTGGATATAATTTCCACGAATGCATATACTTTCGAGCTGCAAGAGCTCCAACAACTTCGCTGTCATTAAAGACATTTTGTTGCTGATTCTCTAATATCCCAAAGAAAATTTTTATTAATAAACTGGAGAAGTCAGCCTAGACCATATTTCATCTCTAAGTCTCCTGAAATGAGGATTTTAAGAAGATTTGTTTCCTGTCACGTTAATTTAAGTAGCATACATTAACAAAATAAATTGTGTTACTTACCAGGTTTTGAAACACTAAATTTTATATGACCAGTGGCTAACTAGTACCAGCTACAAATATCAGTATAGCAATGTAAGCTCTAAGTCATGACTCCTGCCAATTACGTCTCAACTTAAGAGGCTTAAATCTATGTCAAATTTCAGTAGACTGACCTTGCTGGCTGGCTGCTCCAGCCCCTGCTACACAGCCAACTAGCCTTTTACTACTAATTCCCAATTCCTTTGACAGCCCTTGGAAAAAAACGCTCTTTCCCACACTTTATCTTGAAAATATTCCAGAGAGTTTCCAAGCAATTCTACCACTCTCCTGAAGTCAGCATAAGCAGACATAGTAGCGTCTTTTGCTTGGACACTTCAGTGAACAAAAGCTTTCTTTGGACCTCCTCTTATGTTTAACCTTCCACATTCTCTACTCCTGATGTGACATCTGATATGTCAGAATAAGCATGCCTGCTCCTGAAAAAAAAAAAAAGGGGGGGGGGGGGGGGGGGGGCGCCGGGGAGCCAGGATGAAACTGTGTCTCCTTCCCATCAAAACTGATCCCGCTAATAGGATTCCATTCCTGAAATCCTATAGCATGTTCCACCAGCTCATGCTGAAAGGATAATCTTGTCACCTGCTGGAGGCAGCAGTCAACTCTTGAAAACCAGGGAACAAAATCAAGAACACATGCATTGTCTCCATTTGCTTGGATGGAGCAGTCACGCTCAGCTTTTTGGAATGACAAACTGAAGAGAGGTTTAACATGCCAAAACAAAGATTCTCAAAGATTCAAGATTTTTTTCTCCTCTTCCATACTGTTTAAAAATCATGTCTATTTTAGGCGCTTGGTATTGTGGTAGTTGTTTTGCCCAAGCATCTCCTCTGCACTGAACTAATTCTGTACAAATATTCATGAGCATGTTTAACAAGTTTTAACAAATAGAGCAGGCATCTTGCCAGTCACAGCTGAATAGCAATGAAATCTAAACACAGACATTTAAGAAAAAGTTATTCATTATTTCAGAAGAAAGTGGGAGGAGATATTTCTGTTACTTATTTTACAATATTTCTGTAACACCACAAGGATTAACAAGGAAATATCCAACCTTAGCCAGACAGCCAGACGTAAGAAGAACACACAGAACATAAGTAACATCACAGGTGCATGTTGTAATAAATGATGATTTTCTGTTTGGCAAAGAATTTGCATTTCAGCATTTAGCACAGTTCTTAAACTTTTTTCCCAGTAGAATACTTTGAGGTTTTACTTGTTGGGTTTGGTTTTTTTTTTTTATATAACCTATTTTCACTCTGGATACTTTCATTTGTTTAGAGGTGTAACCTATTTCCTTCTAAATAATTTCACACCTCAACGCAGTATTAAGCATTTGAATAACAAAAAAAGAATCAGTGATCAAATTGAATCATATTGTCAGTATTTTAGACTCATTATGTCCATATTTTAAAACAAAAGGTGATATATTTCACACTACCACCCACATACATCTTTAAAAAGAGAGAAAATGAACAAACAAGATATGCATGACTTTTTCCAAACCTTTTTGAGATAGCATTTGAAAACGCAGTTTTTAGAAATGTCTTTATTTATAAAGCAAGTTCACAAACAAGCACAGAAAGCTAAGTGAAATGCTAGCAGTACCTATTTAGCTTTGACACCCAGGAATCTCTGCATTGCTTTCTGTTATCTACCAGCAGCGTTCACATTTTCAGCACCTTTACTATGAACACAGCAGTTTCATTTATTCCCAGGAAGAAATTAATCCTGATCACCTTAAAACTATCATTTAACTAGGACATACACATCTTTCTTTTCCCATTTTTTTTTGTGCTTTGGTTTGAATGACTATTAATAAGATACACATTGCCTCAAGTTAAACTCCTTTTGGTGGGCCACAAGTTGCTTAGAATCTTACTTATACGCTTGGATTTTGTTTTCCTAGACGTAGAATCCTCTGAAATTCAACTGAACAACTGAAGGTCATGAGTTTTGTAAGAACGTAATTTGGTAACAACCACAGGTTACTTCATGATGTAACAGAAATTACATGACAAAGCAAGAGTATGCTAAACAGCAGTATGCAAAGCTTATGCTTAGTGTATTAATTTAATAATTCAATCAACAAGTTGCAAACAAGTTAATTATGTCAAGGTAAATTTTATCTGTGGTAATAATCTTTCATGCCTTACTTCATATGTGGAGTTACCTCAAGTTGATTGGAGAAAAACAGCAGAAAAGCCAGAAATCCTTTAAATAGTTTGTTTACCAACAAGAAAGCACAACAGAGACAGAAAAGAAACAATGGTCATCTTTACCAAAAATCTGCATAGAAAACCGCACGGTATCTTTTGAATTACAGTAAACTGATTCCCATCATCCAAGAAATAACTACAAGCCATCTTAAACAAACAAACATTGAATGAGGCAGACTAGAGGGTTGCAACCCTTAAACTGCGTTCCAGATTTTCAATAGATTTGCAGAATTAATCTTTTTGTTTAGGAATGTCAAATTGTCAGTACAACCACACTGTTCTATATCAAGGACAAAAACAATTAATGCAGACAGAAAGTTACCTTTACAGCTGCTGTCACTGCAGCAGTTGCTGCCAAATTCAACCCTTGCCTTCCAAAATTCACCATGGTCTCATAGCCTCTTTCTTTGGCTTGTACGATGTACTCATCAATCTCCTAAAATAAAAACATACTTAAATTTTAGAGGGCTGTGCATAAGAGTCACATTTCCACACAGCGTTATCTTTCCATCACTACAGGAAAAGAGAAGAAATCTTTAAGATAGTATTTAGTGAGACAGTTATTCTTGCTTTTGTACGTTTATATTTCATTCACTTGTACTCTCTCATTTAAGGAATAATTATGTCTGGTCAAACAAGGTGATAGAATAGATCACTTTTCTCCAGCTCAGAAATACTGCAGCTACATAGCAAGCTCCTTACAAAGAGTAAGCTTAACTTGTTGGACAAAAGTTATTCAAGAAATAACATGCTTAGGGTGAAATCAGACAGCTCCTTAGAAAGGTAAAGTCAGTTCACAAAGAACTTCTGAAGCCAGAGCTTTGACATAGTTAAGTACCAGGGACAATACAGTCATTACATTTATCCCCAGCTGTGGTAAATGCCTGGATCTGGAGATAAAGGCCTCAAGGTAGTTCACAACAGCTAACAGACTACAGGGAACAATTCCTTTAGCTTATGAAGTTAGAAATAGTTTTCAGTTCACCCTTCAGAAGGTCATTATGACCTTACTGTTCACACATCAGTGGCAATCATGTCAGCTACTTGTTTTGCCTAATAAAGGCCAAGCCCAGCACAGACCTTTATGAATGCTATTTTCTGTACTGAGGTTTTTCTGGTGGCAGACTTCACACCTTTGCTGATTGCTCTTTCCACACACCCTAACAGGATACTGAAAAAGAGCTAAGCAAATCTGCTTCCCTGTCATGCTTTGGCTAAAGCTAAACATTCTTGAGTTGTTTTTTGTTTAGGTATATTTCTGCAGTCTGGTCTTCCCTTAAATATCAGTAGAAAGTCTCCCTCTTATCCTGTCAGTTTAAAAACCAGAAAAGTCATCGGTATCATCTGTCCTGAGAAGTTTTATTACTAGATTATGGTAGAAAAAAACGGTAACATGAACAGCTGTTTCTAAAACAGTGTTCATGCTTCTTCACAGAGAGTACTGCACATGTTCTTCCAGTAGAAAGTCAAACCGCATCACTTCCACTCAGCTGGGCTCCTGAAGTGCACTGAGTAGACCAGTGAACACCCAGCTATCTCATATCAACAGAAAGTAGTACACTTTCTGCTCATGCAAGCTCAACAGAAGCATTTAGATGGACAGTCATATGCACTTGCCTCTGCTAGTCCGAGTTCATGCTGCCTGGCATATCAGTAACATGCTGAGCTACTTTTTTCATGTACCTAGCAACAGTTAGTATTTCAGTACATGGTATTTCTATATTAGGTATTAAAAATATGAGAAGTTATTTCTTACCCTTTCTTTAGAAGAAAGAAGCGGGTGGAGAAATTTTCTGTAGATTAAACTTGCCCCTCTAGTATATGGGGAAAGGAGCCAAATAACAAAAGCTATCTTCAGCTCATAGTACAGTGGAAACCTAAAGACAAGTTAAAGGTTGCATGAAATCAACAACTCCGATAACAAAACGCACAGTAATTAATCATCATGAACAGATCTTCTCAAAGAACACAATTACTTATTAGCATATAGGATTCTTCACATACAAGAAGTTATATTAGACAAAAACTGAATTATTTATAGACCTATGAATTTCATTTTTTTATTTGACTGTACTGTCATTTAAGAAATGAAAACAGTTAATATACTTGCTTTACATCATACATTCCTGCTCAGAGAAATTACAGTCCATCCTTTCAAAAGTTCCATTCCCCTATTCAGTTTCTACAGAAGGGTGGTGGTTTTATAGTCCCTACTTCGCGTGACAGTGTAAAGCAAGCTTGAAAACAGATGTTTTTCTTCACATACACCAAGACCTTTTCCTGAAAATAAAAGGCTATCAACAAGCACAACTTCTTTATAAAAATTACATTCTTACAACTCAAAAGACCGGAAACAAATAGTTTCACCTAGAGTTCGTAACAAGCAGGCTCTTACCAAGAGACTGTTAGGTCGGTTATTGTTTCAGTAACTGTATAAAGAGCAAACACAATCCAATACATCATCCAGCGAACCTGAAAATTAAAACACCAGCTTCAGTAAGAATTTTGATTTCACCTTTACACAGAATACACTATACACTGTACAGTCAGTTCAGAGCTGTCAGAGCAAGACATTCAACACTATCTGTCTGCGTCATCCAAGTTTCAAGTGAAATTGTATGAGGGTCCTAATGGTTTTCTTTTCTTAAGTAGAACTGGTGGCAGCTGCAACAAGCTCAGTGAAATGGCTGGGTCACCAGGGTCACAACCTCACCTAGGCTGGCTTGGCACATTTGACTCTGCCTCTAGAAAGCTTTAGTGATAAGAAAACAAACACTGCATGGAGTCAGTAGATTATCCTAAGTACAAAGTGCAATTCCTCCTATAGCAGTAAAGGATATTTCATTCTCTTCCACACTCATCCCTGTGCTTATATCACACACACAGAAGTCAGCATCAGTAAGTGAGGTTGCCCTCGCCTGTATTTCACAATACACGTTATTCAGCGATACTCTGCACTTAAGTTCTACCCGTGTGTTCAGCACTATGGTATTAACACTGGGGCAGTGCAGGAAAACATGGAAATTTAATTCTATTCATATGTCAAGAACCATAAAAGCCCTGTTAATAAAAGAGCTCACATGTAAGCATCCTAATGCTTCAGGGGTTTACATCTATATACTTTTTTAATTGTTTTTAAGATTTACACTACACATCATTGTTTGGAAATCACACAATCCTCTCAAAATACAGGTTTTAGTTCTAATAGTTAGCTAAACTGCTCATTTTTCTTAAACATTTGTTCAAATTTGGTTGTCTAAACCGATTACATATTTCAGAATAAGAATGATAGAAGTAGCTCCAAGCCGTTGTTCTCTAAGATATCAGTGGCCAAACGCAATATATTTCCAAAATAGGTCAGTGCAAACCACCACTGGTTATTCATACTAACTGAGCGCCCACGTGCTTTTTAAATTCCAACACTATCTATGCTAGAAAAAAACAAAACAGTTTAGAAAAGAAAGGAGGAGAAAAGCATCACCCGCAACCAGATATAGTAACCTCTTTTCAGTTGTGATACAGACGCTGCTAACTCTTCTGGTATACCTACAAAGCATTAAACACCACATGTCATAGGCACTAGTTCGAGTCCTAAATTCATGAAACCCTCCTTCCAAAGGAGAACTATATATACTTTCCTACAGAGGATGTGGCTCAGATTTAATCTTCACTTTAAGAGCAACCTTTTTTTGAAGTGGACTTAAATAAATACTCAAAGACTAATGCTACACTGATGCCTATTTCATAGCTGGACACTACCCTTGAAAACCACTTCCTTTGTCATCATTTCAGACCCATTTATCTTAAATGCTTTTTTGCATTTCAGTTTGAAAAGAAACTCAGTCATGTGATGACATTCTTCACTTCAGTCTCTCAGAGGATTTAGATATTTCAGGCTTGAATAAACTAAGACAAATGTACACAATAGCTCAAGTCACCTCTGACAGGCCATGTGACATTTAAACTGGTGACCCTTCCACGAACCAGAGTCAACACCTGAATAAAAGTAGAATTAACATCCACCCTTGCCCCATCAACCTAAGCATGATGCAATGCAATTTTTAAGATGACATGTACAACTGAAATTTTTTCCAGTGTATTTAATCCAGGCTATTCACTTTTTAATTGACAGCTATTTATCCAATTAGGAACAATAGTAAAAGTGGAGTCCCTCTTGGGCTGCTAGAAACAGTAAAAAAATGCCCTGCAGAAGGGCACATGAGATCTGTCAGGACTCCTACTGAGGTTTGAGGGAAGGTTCTCAAAACCACAAGTCACATCATACTCTAATACAACTAATGCGTTAGGTACCAAAAGTATCCTTAACGAAAATGAACACGAGTGGCTTACAGCTGTTTTCATACCAGAAAAAAAACAACATGAAAAACAGAAGGTCATGTCTGACACTGCCCAGAAAACTACCATGGACTTAATTCTTCAAGATGAAGTTACAGAAGCTTTGACTGAGTTTTGCTTTTTATGTTAAAAGGCTGATTACAGATTTGTTTTGTTGAGCTTTTTCCCTACCATCCAAGTGTTTGTTGGTTTTGGCTGAAGCACATCCTTTCAAGTCAGGATTTTTAAGCCAGGATTTGAGAAGACTGATTGTTCAGACTCCTGAAGTATGTTTCAGATGCGTATTACAAGCACTTTGGTTTAACACAGTGAAAAAACTCCTCAAAGATCTTAGTCAACTCCATTAAACCAGACTAATTACAAGAACAGATATATCTCCTCAAAAGGCACAGAGCATAATTTCTAGAACTAAACTTCAGAAGTATTTTAAATTACAAAAACCAGCAGGAAAACTTTGTTTTCCCCAGAAACAATCTTCTAACAATTTCCTGCATCATGACCTAGATGATCTATAGTCAAGATGTTTTGATTGTTTGTTTTTTACAGGTGGAAGCAGCAGTTAAGTAAAAAATGACACTGTTACATAACTCCTGCAATATAGCAAACAAAACCAGATGGCTCCCGAAACACACACCTGGAAAGGAAGTTGTGCTGGGGCCATAACATGACTGGCAGCAGGGCTCTGTCATTTGAAAGGCTGCAGTTAAATCTACACCCTCCTCTGCAAAAGAAAATGACCCAGCTGGGAAGATGAAAGCAGTGGATCGTCCCTAAAATCTACCTGGACCCTCGACCCACCCAGCAATGGAGTGGTAATTCACTGATCAAACAATGTCATTCCCCACTCATGAAAAAGTCACTGTGATGGGTCTCATTCATCTCAGTCCCATGACCGTTTTGTATGCAATTGCAAATTCAGGGATTGCTCAAAGACCACAGGTGTCTGAAAAGCAGTGTTTTCCCACTAAATGAAAGCACAGAGTTAGAAGAATACGGTTCCAGGGCCTACTAAAGGTCCTATGTAAATGACAGGCATGTCTAAAAAAAGGATGCCCAGGGAAGACAGCTAAGACACAGCTAACTGGACAATTGAGGTAAGAGTCAAAATCTCACCATTCTACAAACATTACTTTTGTTTTTCTAGAAAACATATTACAAGAAGCAGTGGTAACCTCTTAAATAAAAGTGATTGCTTGTATCAGAGTTTGAAACTGCAATCCTCTGCTTAACCTGTGGATGACTTTTGAAGGAGTAGGGAGGAAAAGTACATTATAAATTCTTTGCTTTGTATACCTTCCTGACATATTAAAGTAAGCATGAGACAGGAAATTCTTATTTTTGATGGGTTTTTTTCTCCCAAAAGCTTAACTCTGGCAGGCACTAGCTCTATGGGCACAAATAAACTCTAACTGGCTTGTACACAGAAACCAGAAGCAGTATATGATGTCCACTTTGGATCAGACTAACTGCAAGACATACATGGGGAAGACCAATAGCTACTGCATTATACTCCTCCAACCAAATACAGAGTGGAGACATCACAGACCCAGACAGAAGCATTAGGTCACAGCTAGGGCTGCCGAGTTAAAGGAAGCGATGGCACTGGCTCCAACCCTCAGCCAGGCAGCCAAGTTAAGAACAAGGTCCAGTAGAAAATATAGGCGAGTTGCTGAAATCAAGTCAGGCTGCCTCTTTAAACAGGGAAGTAACTCAGCGACCAAAGCTCCTTGTGACTGCAACTGGGTAACGTTCTTGTGGTAATCATTCTTGCTCACACCAAAAAAGAAATAATTTAACAGATTAGAACTAAGCTGCAGTAACTATAGTAACTGTGTTTTTCTCCATCCTACTCTGTCTGTTCTGCTCCTTTTTTCCACATGACCTTAACCAAATCTTTTTCTTCCCTGGTTATATTTTTTCTTCTCTTTGAGGAACAACAGATTAACCAGAGCTACCCTTTTCCAGGTAGATTTGTAATCCTCTGTTGAGCTCCATACAATGACAATTAAACTGCTGCTATTGTTCAAGTGGTCACTGAAAATAAATTTGTCATTGCTTACACTACAGATTTTGGCAGAATTAGAAACTTTTTTTCCTATCCCCTGCCCAGAAGGGCATTATTTTGGGCATTTTGCTGAAATGCAACCAACACTTCAAGGTTTACGTTTAAAAACCCTCCTGAAAATATCCGTATACAGCATACTGTGTTGGACACGTTTCAGCAAAGTCTATGAAAAGTTTGAGAAGCGTTAACTTTAGCCCTCCAAACAATATCACAGGATTACCACTAGATTAACACAGGTGTTGTATCTAATATTAAGTTGGATGAAACCTTCATATGATTTATTGCACTGCATAATGAAAATTTCACAGCTGTATGTCAGCACAGTCATTTAATTAAGCAATTAAAAGTCATGCAACTTACATATTCCTTCACATTTTTTGTCTTCACAGCTTTGTATGAGTAATATGCAGGATACAGCATCCCAAACACCAGCCTATGGGAAAATAAAAAGAGCTTTCAGAATCTGTTAAACTGTATGTGACAAAGCAGTGACAATACATCATTAGAGCAATGCAGCCAACTTAGTAAAAGTCCCATTCTCCATCTTGAAAAAAAAAAAAAATCACAATGTTATAGGTTGCCTGGAGGAAGTTCACCAATACACAAAAATTGAGCAATGCGAACAGAAAAGGCTGTATGCCCTGAAGACAGCAAAGAGTTTTGTAACACAGCCTCTAGTAGATAATGTTCAACTAGTAGCTCTTCTGCTTCAGCTACAAGTAAAACCAGTCCTGCAGTCTGTCTATACCAAAGGAGGGTTTCCACACTGGCAGCGCTACCACACTTAAAGAGCCTCTAACAACTATAGGTAGGTCATCAGAATCATCTCCTTTTATCAGATTACCAGAAAATTCTTGAAAAGCAATTTTAAAACAACTAGATGAGTTACATATTTTCATCTCCTTTTGCTAGAACTCTGCAACAGCAACACATGGAAATGGAGGCAAGTGGGAATTAATCCAGTTTTGCTCAGCCACCTAATTTCTGCTATAATTCATCAAAAGTAAGGTGCAGAGCAGAGTGAGGGGATGTCAAACAATCTGAGAGCAGGATCAGAAAAAATATCTGCTCTAACACAACTTGGTTACAATACAGCATTTTCTAGTAAAAGTCTTGGCCACAGCCTAGCAGAACAGTTCTTTAAGAGAAATTGGACAACAGTAGTTGCCATGTCCTTGACAAATTCAAGAGCTCCCCACTTTTACTTCAGCAGCTTGTTACACTTTGTGAAGTCACTCAGTTGCCTGCCCTTAGGTTCCAGGTGACCTAAAGCAGCAATTACAGAAAAGTCTGGCTACATCTCTGCAGCATCACTTACAACTTACTCAGGATGATTATATCAGAGAAACTCACGATTTTAGGAACACCGAGATCTTCTAAGAAAGTTCAGAACTCAAGTAATTTTAGTCCTCACACCTAGGGGAAGGAAGATGTATGGGGTTTTTTTGCATGATTGGTTGGTTTTTTGTTTTTTTTTTTTTTTTTTTTTTTTTTTAGAAAGAGTCCACCTGGGACAGATTGTAGCATCTAAGATTTCATCTCAAATGGCTGAACTTTACCAAAGTAAATAATCAACTAAAATTTAAGGTTTTATAGTTGTGTCAGGTAGTTTAATAAGTGGTTCTACTTACAGAGCCACTGCAGAAGACTGCATGACGCTACCAAGCTTCACTCACTGTTAGACCCAGGAAACAATTCTAAGAACTTGTAGCCCAACTGTTTTTTTTTCTAAGCAACTACTCCAAGAGCCTTCACTTTCTACAAGATGTTATTTGCAAAGACTACCACAGAACTTTCCTAGTATAAAAGACATCAATGTCAGTTTGAATTAAATCAGTTTGATATACACCATCTTCCAAGCATCACTCATATATAGACTGAAGTCTTCCACTTGGTAGGAAGCCAATTTAGACTGCTAAAGTCATCTCTAAGAGTACATAAGTTAAAAAAAAAAGGTTAGTGACAAAGGTGAGAGATTTTCTTCAACATTAGATACCATAGAGGGTTTTCTCCATCTTTAGTGCAAGACAAACACACAGTTGCTCATGGAAAGAGGTCTGTCGTAGAGGTTTACTGGCAGAGGTACTGACATTAAGCTACAAATGCCGCAAATGAAGGGGGAGGACAACATCACAGAAGCATAATTGCAGAACCCTTCATGTTTGAAAGGAGCTTGTGAAGTCATCTAGTCCAATCTCCTGCTCAAACCAAGACCAACATCAGATTTGCACCAGGCTACTTACGGCTTCAGCAGTCCGATCTTGGAGACTTCAAAAGAGAAATTTTTGCATGCTCTGAGTAACCTGTTCCGATGCCTAGTAAGACTCCTAGTGCAAAGTTTTATTTCTATCCAGACAGAACCGAGAGTTTGTGACCACTGTCCCTCTTCACTGAGTGGCACAGGAAGTGGATGGGCCTGGCTCTCATAACCTCCAAAGTGTTACACAGGATTGCTAGTAAGTCCCCTCAAAGCCTTCGCTTTTCTGTCTGAACAAGACCAGTTCATTCAGACTCTCCTCTCAAGTCATGCGCTGTGAACATCTTGGTGGTCTCAACTGAACTTTCTCAAATAAATTAACATCTTTCTTGCACTAAGAAGCCCAAAGCTGGACCCAGTTAAACGTATACACCTCACATCTACATCCCCTTTTCTAGGATGCATTTGCTTCCACAACACACAACTGCAACTGAAGAAATCTGGGGCGCATCTGTTATTTTTGTATACGTTGGGCCTTTACTCATACAACAGATTTGTTAATGGCCGATAGCAGCAGAGGAGCTAAAGGGCACTTCAAGCAGATCTCCAAGTGATCAGGTTCTTCTGTAGTGCAAAGGGACTGTGCACCACAGATCCCTTAAAACAATATTGATACAAAAAGAAAAAATCTAACTGGTATACCATAGCAGCAGCTTAAAATTTCACAATTCATGCTAAACTGGAGTTAACAGAAGATGGATCCTGAAGCTCTGTAATATATACAGGCAATCTGCTACTGCACTGCAGCAGAGCTTACCCACGTTTCAGATGTTGAAACGCCTTTTGAAAGAGACCAGACTACTTCAATTCCAGTTCAGCGTACTAATCTGTAGAAGCCTATCTAAATACAGCTCTACTACAAAACAAAGGCCTTCTATCCTAAGGCTAAGAAAAGCAACAGTCAAAAAACCCAGAATGGTTTTATTCCCAACCAGGACAAAAGCCTTCCGAGTTAAAAACCTTACTTCACCCAAATAACAGCAGATCTGGAAACAGAAGGAATAGGAGGCCAAAGACCCTTCATTTTTATGAAATTGTGTGGACAACAGCTCTTTCTCTCATTTTTATCCCTGTGGAATACCCTGGTTTAGTAACACAGCTCTAATGGTTTTGACCTTTCCTTGTTCTTCTGCTTAAAATTACAACCATTAATTATCAGAGATAAGGAAAAGTTTGTTAATCCTCATAAGATAACACAGACTTTACAAGGGCAGAAATTTATTTGTTCAGATAGAAGATACAGAAGGTGATCCCAAACATCGTAACCACTACCAACTCTCAGACAGCTGCATATTTATATCTGACTATCTGTGCACCTCTCTCAAATTCTCAAAAAATAGTCCAAACTTATTGAAATAGCTACTAGCAGCCTGCACATGTAAGTCTCTTGCTATGAAGAGTAGGAAAGAAAGAAGTTTGAATCCTTCACTTAACGGATTTATGGTCTATACCTCTCCACTCTATTGTCAAGTAGCATCATCTCTCATCAAGAAAAAAAGTTGCTGTTTAAATTTTTAAAATACAACTTATCCTCTGATTGTATTATTCTGTAAAATCTGGAAAAAGACAAGAATTAGGACAGAATGAAATTTTGAGAACATTGCTTCAGAAACAATTGATCTTCAAGCAGACAGCTTATGACAGTAACAGCAGGATGATCATCAAGCTAAGCTAAACACAACCTCAAGTTAAATGAAAACACTGGCACAAGACAAACACAAAGAAGGTAGCTAGTTTTCCCCTACTAGAGAATCTTTATCTTATTCAGTACTGGTCAAATCAGGAGTCAGAAATATCCCTATTTTAGTACTCACTTTTTTTCTTTCAAAGAATTCTTCTGAAATCACTTTTAAAACCAAAGAACAAGAAACTTAATACCACAATATATTATTACTTATTAGTGTTCAATACTGCCGTAAGATTAAAGTGTTAGAAAAACAGCCACTTGTTCACTAGAAGAGGGTAAATAGGACTAAATAAAAAACATCAGCACATTTAGTCAGTAAAAATAGGCATCAGTACTGTGAGGTTTTTATCTCTTCACAACCAAAGCTGACATTTTAAGCATGGCATGATGCTGCTGCCAACTCTGGCATCAGTACCTCCTTCACACAGACCAAGTCATATAACCTTAGCTACCAGGCAACTTAACAATAGAAAATCCAACTTGTCACCAGTGAGTAGCTGAAGGCCAGCAAATTCACTTGTACCCTCAATCTATACATGATAGATTAGTATACAAGCAAGAGGGAGACCCACTGCAGGTGACTGAAGCAGGAACACATAGAACAGGAGCAGCAGGGAGGATGAGCACAATCAGTATCATTGACATACATAGCTACAACAGCTGAGCATCTTCTAGTAGACTTCCTGATTGAATCAATAGCTCCAAAAATCTCAAAGTTGTTAGCAACGCCTATTGCTACGCATTTTTAGTGCATCCCTCCTGTGGTATTTCTACAGTAACTGTCCAACACTTAAAGGATGTACCCAACTACTCCAAAGCTTTTCAAATTTAAAAGCTTAAGTGTTATATTTAGAAGTGCAGTTTGTATTTCACACTGGATATCAGCACACTGCACTAATGTAGCAAAACCAAAGCCAGTTTTCACAGATGGAAACAGATTTCGGCTGAACATGATGTCATTTACTTTATTTTACCAGTAGATATCTGGATAATCCTGCTCACCAATGTAATCTGACTGCCAGTTCTATGCCTAGGTATTTCAGTTTTTCAGCTGTACTCAGCAACTAGTATAGGATTCCTTTTTTGGTACAGATACTTCCTCTACAGACATTTTGCTCATTTAGAGATAAACATTTCTCAAATTACTAGGAGATTAAAATCAAAAGACAAAGGAAAAAAATGTATCAGAAAGCCTTGAAATCCAAATAAAACAATGTGTCTGTGTATCCGCATAGCTGTAATACAACAAATAAAAACTAATGCCTGTGTTATCATATAATCTACAGTCTTACAGTTTAAATAGCTTTAAAGTGCACAACTATTTGAAAAACTCATTTCTGAGGCAAAGCAACTGAGTTTGCACTTGAGAACAGAAAAACTGGTCACCTGTATACACATTGCTCTGGCACTGAGTATATTTAACCCGGATAGTAAACAACTCTAAAGCTCATGTTAAAAAAAAAAAAAAAAAAGACACACAAATGAAAGC